GCTGTTTTAAAACAGTCACCTTCCTTATTTTGGCCATTGGGGTTCAGCAGGATGAAGGTTCAATCAAGAAGCTACTGTCTTTATTTTTAAATGCAGTGTTAGGTACAGTTTTTTTATACTTTGATTTTATTATACTTGAAACTAAAATGCAGAACTATCCAGTTCAGTATTGGATATCCGTATTACATGTCAAGAGCATGACATCTGGAGTCTAAATCCCAGTTCAATGATCAGCCACATGTAGCTAGGCATATAGCTTCAATGATCAGCTACATTTGGATACATTTGGATACCTTTGGATACATTCTTAGCCAATCAGCATCTCAGTTTATCATCTATAAAAGAACTAATGGTAGTTCTTACTTCTTACAGTTATCACAGGAATTCAATGAGATACATGTAAAGTTCTTAAAATAGCACCAGCACCTAACACAGAACAAATCTTCAACCTGAATAAATGTTAACCATTACTGTGTTTTCAGCTGTCTGCCTCCCAGCATTTCCCTACCTCCCCATTCAGCTCTACCCCACAATTTACCAGTCTGCTTTTACTTTCTGCAAGATGTCATGGTCTCTTCCCTCTAGGCCTTCATGTATGCCTCTTTATCTACTTGGCTAATTCTTATTTCTAAAACAGTCAGATGTTTTTTCATATCCATCCATTTAAAGTTTGACAATGCCAAGGACAGGGAGTAATAAGAACCATTGTATGTTGCAAGTGGGAGTATAAATTGGTACAATTTTTTGGAGAGCAATTTGGCAACAGCTGGAAAAGTTAAAGGTATCCATAATCTGCATCTCATTAGCTACACTCCTTGGGATATATGCTAAAGAAACCTTCACATCTGTACACAGGAAATATGTATAAGAATGTTCCATACAGCATTGCTTTTTATAGCAAAAATACTGAAAAGAACTTTAGTGTCCTTCTTCTACAGGAGAGCAGATAAATACCCTGGTGATCATAACATATAATCATATACTGGAATGCTGCTGTTGTTGTTCAGTTGCTAAGTTGTGTCTGACTCTTTATGATCCCATGGACTGCAGCATGCCAGGTTTTGCTGTCCTTCACTATCCCCTGGAGTTTGCTAAAATTCAAGTTCATTGAATCAGTGCTGCTAACCATCTCATCCTCTGCCTCACTCTTCTCCTTTTGCTTTCAATCTTGCCCAGCACCAGAGCCTTTTCCAATGAGTCAGCTCTTCCCATCAGGTGGCCAAAGTACTGGAGCTTCATCTTCAGCACTGGAATGCTACATCACAATTAAAACAGCTTCATGTAACAACATGGGTAAATCTCAAAAATATATTGCTGACTAAAAGAAACAAGTTTCAAAAGGATATATTTATGATATTAACTAATAACAAAAAGTTAAAATCATGCAAATTTGCTACACATTGTTTATGGATACATGCATATGTAATAAAAGTGTAAAACATGCCATGGGAAGAATAAACACCAAATGCAAGGTGATGGGTACCTTTGAGGAGGAGGAAGAAGAAGGAGAAAAGGGAATAGAGTTGGGTGGGCTTCACAGAAAGTTTCAACTGTATTTCTTCTATTAAAAAAAGCACTCATGCAAGTTTAATTATTAAACGTTAAGATTCCAGAAAGCTGGGTGGTGGGACAAAGATGTTTGTTCAATTAGTCATAAGTTTAAATAAACCACAAGCCAGATGAAGAAAATGGAAAAATTGGTTGAAAAATCTGTGTCATAAAAAGCATTTGGCATTCTAGGTTCCCAAACAGTCAAGGGATTACCCCTGTTTCCATCTGACCCATCCCATTTACACCCCTTCCTCCATCTTTACCAACAGAGATTCATTTTCTATACACTCTAGCCCTAGGGAAGGCAGTGGGGAGGCACAGGGCTTACAATGGGATTAAGTGGAAGTGGCTTGGAACTTAGAATGCATTCTTAAGACTCTGGGAACACTCATAGTCAAGTTAATAAGTCCCAAGAAACTAGAGGATGCTTCTCTGGAGAGAAGACCTCCCAATACTGACATTTGTGGGCCCTCTAAGAAATCTGGCACATCAATGCAGTGCTTAGTCACTCAGTCGTGTCCAACTCTTTGCGACCCCATGGACTGTAGCCAACCGGACTCCTCTGTCCATGGGGTTTTTCAGGCAAAAATACTGGAGTGGGTTCCCAAGCCCTCCTCCAGGAGATCTCCCCAACCCAGGGATCGAACCAGGTCTCCCACATTGCAGGTAGATTCTTTACCAGCTGAGCTCCCAGGGAAGCCCAGCATACCACCGGTACACCTCATAATAAGCCCACTCATCCAGTGCTTCTCACAACATAAGGTGCATTTGAGTCACGTAGCAATCTTGTTAAAGTGCATATTCTAAATCTGTAGTTTACGGTGGGACCAGAGAGTCTGTATTTCCAAAAAGCTTCCAAAGGAAGCCAACGCTGCTAGTCCCTTTTGAGAAGTAAGGTGCTTGTCAACGCTTCTTGCCCACACACTCAGCCTCCACTCAGCTTTTTGGAATCTCATCCCTAAATAGGAACAGGCTGCTAAAGAAATCAGACTTTTGAGGATGGCCATTAACATAAATGAGACTAAACAAAAATAAACAGGCAAAAATAAAAACAACAACAAAGAAATAGATCAAAGCAAAGAGAAGAAAAACTAAAAAGAAACACACTACAGTATCCTTAGAGAGAAGATATTAGTGTCCATAAAACATACAATATCCTCAGAAAGATAGAAGACACTCCTGTCAAATAAATGTTTGACAGGAACTTTCCCAGTGGTTTGGTGACTCCCAGTTTCATTCCCTAGTCAGGGCCCAGGTTCATCCCCCAGTCAGGGAACTGCATTCCACATGCTGCAATTAAGATCCAGATCAGTCAAATAAATAAATATATAAAAGAGAAGAAGGATAAAATAATATGGGAAGGGGAGTTGGGAGAAAAACATCTTGGGAATTAAAAATAAAAAAAACCTGAAACTTAAAATGGTTGAAGATAATGACAAGGAAATATCTCAGAAAAACAGAACAACAAAAACAAACAAACAATGGGTACAGAGTTTCAACTTTGCAAAATGAAGAGTTTTGAGACTGTTGCATTAAAATCCCAATAAATGATTTAACTGACTGAACTGTACACTTAAAAATGCTTAAGATGAGAAATTTCACATTATGTATATTTACAATTGAAAATAAAAATAAAACACACCAATCCAAAGCAACAAGAAAACAGAAGAAAAAAAATGAAAATATCAGTCCAGAAATCTAACTTTTAAATAACAGGCATTCCAGAAAGTGAACAAGGAAAATGGAGGAGAAGAAATTATCAAGGAAATAAAGAAAATTGCCTCCAAAGCTAAAGTACATGAGCTTCCATTTTGAATAAGTGCTCAGTTCAAAAAAATTAAGTCACAACAAAGCAAATCATTATAAAATTTCCAACCCACAGACTAAAGAGAAAATTCTAAAGCCTCCAGAGGCAGAGAAGATGTAACATACAAAGGATCAGGAATATGAATAGGAATCAGGCTTTTCACAATAGCAACCTGGAAGGTAGAAGAAAATGAATAATACCCTAAAAATTATGACAGGAAATTATTTTCAAAACTTAAATTCAATATCCAGCCCAACTATAAATTCAACTACAAATCAAGTATTAAGATAGATTTTAAAATATGCAAAGATTCCAATATATCCCCCATGCCTTTTCCTTTCGAAGTAACCAGAGTCGGTGCTTCAGCAAAACAAGGAAGTAAACTAAGAGGAAGGAATGGGATCTGTGAAATGGGCAAAACCAGCCCAGGAAAATCCCAGAATGACAACTGTACAGCAAGTCTAGAGAGCAGTCAGTTCCGATCGAAACAAGAGGAAGGAGACTCTGGGACAAAGATTCCAGAGAAAAAACAGAACTTATGCATTTGAGTATACAGAAAATACTGCCAGACTTTTGGACAGAGTCTTAAGAGCACTTTCAGGGGTGGGGGCAGCCAACTGTAGATAATACAAAAAACTAACAAGCAAGTGGGAAAAGGCAACAATTAACTCTAAGAAAAATGAAGGGCTGTATAAATTATAAGGCACAGTTGTAGTATACATTGGGTCATTGGTAAATAGTATTTGCATACATAATTTAAATGCTGATTATTGGTTTAACTGAAATTTTTACATAAATATGGGAGGTGGAGAACAGAAGAGATAGACTCATGTTCTTAACTGTCATGGCAGGAAGTCAACAAATAACCCTTAAAATGAACAAATCAAGAATTAGTAGTATATGGATTTATTTAGATATATGGATCTAATCTGGATGAATATGTAATAGAGTTGAGACTATTGCCTCTAAAGAGTAGGCCAGGGAACAACTTTTTTCATTACAAGCCTTCTAGTATATGTATGTATTTTACAGCTATGTATATGGTCCGTTTCCTTCACCAGACTATAAGCTCCTCGAGGGCGGGACCTCGTGTGTTCCACCGTATCTCCAGCGCAGGGCAGGAGCCCACTACACATTTGGTGAAATGAATGAGCGACGGTGCCGCTGGACAGCCATTGGTGTGGCACGAGGAAGGGTCACTGACAAGCGGAGAGCAAAGAAGCTGGCTGGGAGATGACAAGAGCGAGCTTCTTGCAGGGTCTCTGAAATTACAAGACCGGAAGAGTGGAGGTAAACATTTGGGGAGTACGAGACCGGACTGCCTGGTGGACCTCGGGGAACGGCAGCAGGTCGAGAGGAGGACTGCAGGGTTACTAGCGAAGAGGAAGGACTTGGGACTACCAGCATCGCGCGTGCGCAAGCGCGGCAACCGCCCCGCCCCGCCCCACTCCTCCACCCCGCCCCACTCCTCCACCCTGCCCCACTCCTCCACCCTGCCCCTGCCCGGCGCGATTGCGTGCGCGTGCATGAGGGGTCGGAGCGGAAATGGCGCCGCGGGGCCGCGCGTCCGGGCGGCGAGCGGAAGTGGGTGTGAGAGCGGAAGTGGCCGGCTAGAGCCGGGGGCTGGGCGGGGACCAGGCTTGTCGGTGAGGCGGCAGCGGCGGCGGCGGCGGCTCGGCAGGCGGGTTCAGGCTTCAGGGGCCAGGTCGGTCGGGTGGGTGGGTGTCTCCACAGTCAGTGCGTGCGCGGGCCAGCGCGCAGATTTCCCCCTTCTCCCACCCTGGTCCCTTTCCCCTTCTCCCCTAACCTCCTACCCCACCCAGCCCCCCTCCTCAAGGGGCAGCAGGGCCGCTCCCTCTGTCCTTTCCTCCCTTACCNGGTGTCTCCACAGTCAGTGCGTGCGCGGGCCAGCGCGCAGATTTCCCCCTTCTCCCACCCCGGTCCCTTTCCCCTTCTCCCCTAACCTCCTACCCCACCCAGCCCCCCTCCTCAAGGGGCAGCAGGGCCGCTCCCTCTGTCCTTTCCTCCCTTACCCACCCTCACCCGCCCTTGTTTCTCCTTCCCCTGTCCGGGGCAGCCGCCGCCATGATCCTGCTGGAGGTGAACAACCGCATCATCGAGGAGACGCTCGCGCTCAAGTTCGAGAACGCGGCCGCCGGGTGAGCGCGCGCCAGGGGCCGGTGGGTGGCGGGGGAGGCAGAGTTGACCCCTGATAATCGTTCAGTCCTCCAGACCCAGAGGAGGGAGGTGAGCGACCTGGCCGGGTGTGGGGACTGCCCCGGCGGGGTCAGACGTGGGAGGTGATTGGGCGCGGTGGGGTGAGGGGCTGAGATGCGTGGGGAGAGGCTCAGAGGAGGGATGCGGAAGCAGTGAGTGGACAGGAGTGCGCGTGCCAAAGGGCAGGAGACCTGTGGGACGTGAGGGGAGCTTGGGCCGGAACTCTCCGCTGGAGGATCCCATTCCCCTCTGGAACGAGCTGGGGACCACTTCCCTCTGTATTCCCCGTCATTGTTCAGAACCCAGAGAGAGCCCATTTGGGATCCGGTTGGAAGGAGTTTTCAGGAATTCCCAGCACTGGAGGAGGAAAGAAGGTGGCAGGCCCAGATTCACCACCCATCTTCTCGCTCCCCACCCCCATCTTCTCGTCTAAAGGAGCGGGAGAGAAGACTGAGGCAGGCCCTTGCCTTGCAGCCGGAAAACCCGTTGATCTCTCTAGTTTTACTTCCCCGAACCCTACTGTGAGAGAGACTGGTCATTTTGTTACATTCCTCGAGCAAAGTTAATAGTCCCCCCAATATCCACACTCCTTTCTTATCGCTCTTCTGAGGTCCTGATTCTTTTTTCCCCACCCACTGTCCTCTATCTGGTTATCTTTCAAATCTTTGTACCGTACCCCTTGGTCTGTGATTTCTTCTGTAGTCATTCCGGCCCAGATACACACTTGAAAGCCTCCAGAGTCTATAATAAAGTTCTCAGATAAGACCTGTTTGTCAACCATTGGCCTTGTTAAAAGTGGGCTTTAGGACATGTTTCTAAGGCAACCTTCGCCGTCAGACGCAAGAATCAGTAGAAGACGACCTCCTCCCCAAAGCTGCCTTGCTTTTCTAATATAATATTTAATACATGAACCAAAGAATCGGTTTTAATTTCTAATTTTTGATGGCGTGTGGCCAGTCCCTTGGCCTCATTTCCCCATGTGTGAGGATGGGACTTCACATCTTGGTTACACAGTTGAGGAAATAGTGCAAACCGTTTCTGGTGAACTGGGAACTGAGAATAGAGTAAGTGCTTGGAGAGCCACCGATCGGAGAGGATTGGTGGAGGGAATTTCTAAGTGGACATAATGAACTTGTGGCTTGGAGGCATTTAAAAAAAATACTTACTACCTGCCTCTTAAATTGAATATATTGTCTCCTATCTCTGTTGTAAGGCCACAGGTTTTATCTGTAGAACAAAGCACAGCTTTCCTTGAAGTAACACAGTGACCAGTAGTGACTGTTTCCTGCCAGGGGCTGCAGTTGCTTATATTTTAGGCTGACTTGCTTCTTGTCTTTGGCCTCACTTACCAGTTCCTTTGCATTTTAAATGTTCAAGCCAGTCAGCTTAGTGGCTTATTTTGGGTGATTGCTATGTACTTTTTTGAGCAGTGTAGCACATAGGAGGAAGTTAAAATAACTTCTGCATTTTCACAGCTGATCTCAAGTGAATTCTCACGTTTAGACTAGCGAAAAATGAGACATGGGTGGTTATAAGCTGATCTACAAGATAAATGCCTGTGCATTTCAAGTAGAAGCATGCCTTGTAGTGTAGGAGTACGTTCACATCTGCTTGTTTATTAATAACTTGTGACTCTGAAATGTAGCCCATTATTCATAGCTTCAGCTCTTTTCTTTTTAGAACATTACTCTTAAAAAGAGCTACTAACTATTTCAGCTGGGAGTAAGTAGTCATACAAGTCTGGAAGGCATAATTTGGAACTTCTGGACATTTTTTTTTTTACAAAGTGTATGTTGTAACAATGTTAAATCTTAGGGCATGGCAGCCATTTTTGGTTTTTTTCTGGCCTGTCTTCCATTTGAGATGTGACTTTAAGTAAGTGGACTCAGAACATACTCTGCTGAAAATCACTTTGAAAAAAGACCGTGATATTCAGCCTAACAGATAGGGTTTTCCTGGGATTGCAAACGTAACACCTAGAAGCCTAGAAATTTCTAGGCATACTAGTAAGGTGAGGCAGCAGTAAAGTATTTAAGTATTTATCAAATAGTTAACTATTTATCAAGGTGCATGCCTAGCCAGAACTTTTAGAGAATAATAACTAGTATTATTACATAATAACTAAATAATCATGAACATTTACAGGGTTCTTTCAGTGCTCATCCCCAAACAGGAACAGGAAAGGGGGACCTTTCTAAGAGTATGGCAGAGTTACAGAGGACCTAAGGGGGAACACATTTTGGGGTGGAGATCAGAGAAAGATTAAAGAAAGGCAGTAGCTCTAAGGAGAAACCTTGGAGATTGGAAAGGCTTGGCCATTGTGGGAACCTGCTGGGAGAGGTCCGCTCCGCCCTGCTTTTCCCAGCTGGGGAAATGAGGTTCTACGCAGCCTTCCCCAGAATGAATCCTCCAGCTCCACGATGCCTGGTGATAGCCAGTAGCTACATATGGCTAGTCAGGTTGAAATAAAAATTAAAGTGAATTAAAATAAAGCTCCTCAGTCACACTAGCCACAGTTTGGAGCAAAGTTGCCACGCGTGGCTAGAAGCAGCCAAATGTGGGCAGCTAGATGTAGGACATTTCCATTATTGCAGAAAGTCCCCTTGGACAGCCCTGTTGGCAGCTACTGAAAACGTGAGCATGAGGTAGTCTTTTTTTTTTTTTTTTTTTTTTTTTTTTTTNTTAATGAGGTAGTCTTAAAAATAGTTCTGCGGTATACATTTCAGAACACAAGTTATTTTCCTTTTGAAGTTGATCTTATTTTAAATGATGCCTCTCGGAGCATGGTAATGGATTTATGGCAGGTCCTCCTCTGTGGGCCTCTCATAGTGTACCCATGCCAGAGTAAATTGCAGCCTCGAACCATTGCCCAGCCTTCTTACTTGTGGGCTGCGAGCACTGAAGGGGGTTGTACAGTTTGAAACAAGAAAGAAAAAAAATGATGCCTCTCAGATTATCTTGCTGGATCTTCTTGCCTGTGACGTCCTTCTAAATGTCTAAATTTCCTTCGAGTAAAGCAGTTCTGTCATAAATTGTTTAAGAATATATTTGGTCATGAAAACCTTTTAACTTGGAGGCAGTTTTGACAAAGCCTGAGAGCCATTCCAGGCAAATTACTCTTTCTTTTTTTTCCCACCACATTCCTGGAAAGGTGGCTTATTGAGATGATTCCTGTATCCCCACAAAATGATAATTATTGGTAAATTGTCTTCTCAACAGCCTCTACTGAGACTGTGACACTGAGAGACTGTCTGTGATTAAGAAGCTGTGCACAACACTGCAGATAACCTCATGTGCAGGTCTTGTCGACAGTTTTTTGGTTGTTTTTTTTTTTCCCAACCATTTAGGAATTCTTACTTAGGCTCCCAATTAAAGAAGTATTCTGGCAAATTAATTTAATTCTTTTGTTACTGTATACACACCAAGAACCTTTATAGCCTCCAAAGCTAGGCTTGTCAACCTCACTCTAGTCTGGAGTGCAAAATTGAGGAAATGCTGTCAGATGCGAATTGCTGTTGATTTTAAGTGCATGCTGGCTTCTTGCCACAGCTGTGCATATTGTGGGGCGCTGTGCTGCTGTGAGGAGGAGTGAAGCTCAGTAAGCAAGCCATGCCAGTTGGGGTGGGCGAGGACTGTGGGAGGAGAAATTTGAGCGAGGAATAAATTAAATCTTGCTGATACCTTCTCATTCCCAAATATGCTGCCTGTGTCCTCAGGGAGACAGACCGCTGTGGAGTGGTTTGGAATTAGGACATTGTTTAAGCATTTAGAAGAAACTGGATGTAGCAGCTGACTTGCTGAGATGATCTGGTTGGTCTTTTTACTGGTCACTGTAGTCACACACTACTGCCCACTCTCTGGCTGCCTCGGAGCTACTTTGGGCATGAGGCCCCAGAACTGTGTTCCTTTTGTGTGTACGAAACCTGCAACTCTGTTAGTGGCAGGGTCTATGGTTCTTTCATCTTTGTTTCCCCAGAATTCTTACTGTGTGTATAGTCAGCTTAGTACATGTTTGATGAAGCTAGATAGAATGGTTCTCAGTTTCTTTAGGAGTTTATCCTTCTTCTGACATTGTGTGATTCAGCTTTTAGACCCTCTTCATTATTTTGAGATGTACCTTAAGAAAGTAGGACCACCTCTTACCTAATATCCATTTTTATAGGCTTTGCTCAAAAAGGATGATGGGAGCCTTAGAGAGGACTTAAAGGAGATTAATCAAAAACTTTATGATTAGATAATGAGCAGTATTCAATAATTCCTCTAATTCAGCTCATAGAAACAGTAACTAGAAGAGGGACATAAATGCACAACAAGGAACTGGATGTGTTCAGGAGTAAAAATTCCAAAATCCTTAATGAGGAAAGAGGATTGGATAATAACAGTTGCCAGGAGTTCTTTAGTGACATTTTAGAAAAAGGAGAGAAAGAAATTTTTTCTAAAGGTATTTAAGAATGGCTCTTGAAACCCATCTGAATGAATTCAGTATGTTTTAGTGTCTTGTGCTGTCCTGTCAGTAACCCTGAGGACTTAGCCACCTGGCTTACTCTAGGATTGCAGACGCTGCAGCAGTCTGACACTAATATGGTTCTGTTTCTCCTTGTCTTGCTGACCAATTCCTGATTGTTTGACATGGTTTCCTTCCATTTCAGAATGTGTCTGGATTACAGATAGCAGCTCTGATTTACAATTGACAAAACTGGGGCTCTTGGGAGTTGCTGAGGGAGTAGATGGATTCAGCATTGTGTAGGCACCCTTCCCTGGTGATTTGCTGACCTTGTTATGGTATGTCACATCTGGGTAAATGGTCTAGCCTGGAGATCCTGCCACTGGGCTGCCCTGAGGGCCATGGGATCATTATCTCAGCATATCTGTAGCTGAGTCATAAGACCTTTGTTGGGAAACTTTGCCGTCCAGGCAACTTCTCAGTTAGTCCTCACAGCAGCTTTGTGTGGTGAAGTGAAGTGAAGTCACTCAGTCATGTCCCAACTCTTTGCAACCCCATGGACTGCAGCCTACAAAGCTCCTCTGTCCATGGAATTTTCCAGGCAGGAGTACTGGAGTGGGTTGCCATTGTGGTGGAGGCTTTTAATCTCCATTTTCTAGAAGAGGAACCTTTGGCTTGCTCATGAGTATCATTGCTGTGGCTACAGTAAGCGACAGAACTTGTGGTGAAGAGTCAGCTCTGAAAGAGCTTTTTCTGTGATTAAAGTTACTCTCACTGCCTGAAACTTTAGCACACACAGTCAAACAGAAAATAACTATTTGCCTTTTTGGCCTAGGGGCTTCTGTGGTAGCTCAGATGGTACAGAATCTGCCTCCAATGCAGGAGACCTGGATTCGATGCCTGGGCTGGGAAGATCACCTGGAGAAGGCATGGCAACCCACTCCAGTATTCTTGCCTGGAGAATTCCATAGACATAGGAGTCTGGTGGGCTACAGTCCATGGGGTCCCAAAGAGTCAGACATGACTGAGTGACTAACATTGTTTTGGCCAGTTAAGAGTACACTTGCTCCCAGACCAATCTTATTCCTGTCTGTGGTTGCTTGTGGTTTAGTCGCTAAGTCATGTCTGACTCTTGCGATTCCACGGACTGTAACGTACAGGCTCTTCTGTCCATGGGATTTTCCAGGCAAGAACACTGGAGTGAGTTGCCATTTCCTACTTGAGGGGATTTTCCGGACCCAGGAATCCTGTGCTACATGTGGTCTCCTGCCTTGCAGGCAGACTCTTTACCAGCTGAGCCACCAGGGAAGCCTTTATTCCCCAGTAGCCCCGTGATTTTTAAACCACAAAGCACTTGGTCTTGGACTTGAGCCATAGCCCTGTCATGGTATATTTCCCGCTCAGTGCAGTCCCCTTGTTAGGGACAGAATTGGACAGAAGTCTAACCCCCAGGTGACTTCTCAGGAGGACGCCTTCAGCCCAGTGCTCTCCTCAGCAGCCTGCCTCTCTCCTCTGCAACCTCTATGCAGCCATAAATAGCAAACTAAAATACTAATGGCAATGATTTGACAAATATTCCCAAGTCAGGCAGCAAACCACTTAGTATAGATCTTAGCGACTTCTCCCAGTGGGGATCAGTGCTCAGGGAACTTTATGACCTAGAGAAATTCAAAATTTCAAGTCAGAATGTTGGAACCCTTAAGGTTTTTTATCTATAGTTGATCTTTTCTTGGTCAGTTGATGAAGTGAGAAAGTGAGGAACTGAGTCCTTCTGTGGCTGACTTAAAGCTTAAAGGTTAAAAAAAAAAAAAAAAAACCAGCCTCCTACTAAGTGATAAAACATGGGCTTTTATAAGCCTCCACCGTGCCTCTTAGGCACAGCCAGCCTTCTTCAGGAGAATGTGTTTCAGTGGCTTCCTCCCGTTGTGCAGCCTCTTAATGTTTCATTCAAATGGGCCATAGATTAATGTTTCTACTTCTTCCTTTGCTCCTGTTTTTTCTAGAAGTGAGAAATGGTGGTTGGTCATTCATCACCTTAGTCACCAGGCTACAGTTTCAAATGAAAGATCAGAAACAACCTTTAATTTTTATCCAGTTCTTTTCATCATATCCTGAATCTAGTTCTTTTCATCACATCCTGAACTCACTGCTTGTCCATAAACCCACTTGATGCTTCTCCCCCAAAGTACTTTTTCCTAAGTCACATATGGATGGCTTTGAAGAAGCAGAGTGGAACTCGATGTGTGATTTGTATAGGTTGATTTTACAACGGGGCTAACATATGTTTAATAGAAGCCAGTTTCCTTGAGAGGTATGGTTTAGCTTTGCAGCAGCGTTTTAACAGTCATAAACCATGTTATTTATTCTGTTATTTCCCAGCAACTCTGAAGGGCAGCTCAGTCTTAGTTCCTTCTGCAGATGAGGGAGCGGAGATAGTAAAAGAGATACACATTTGATGGTGAGGTCTTGAGCAAGTTAGGCAAGAATAAATGTGAAAGTGTGTATATCTTGTCTGCTGGCCCATAAAACAAAGTGGAATCATTTGAGTTATAGGGTGTTAGCTAATAAAACTATGGAGTCTTCATTGGTTTCCTACCATTGGGTTTTGAGGAGAAGTGAGGAAAGCATTTGAAGTAGCTTTTCACTGGAGGTTAATTGACCATTATTGTTTTTAACTGGATATATGTCATGCTTTCTGGGTTAATAACTCAGCAGCATTTATCAAACAGAAGTCCATGTACCAGGCTCAGCTGGGAATCACATTGGAAGTGGTAGACCGTCAGTGCCTCCCAGGATAAGTTCTTCCATGTCTGTTCTCTTGTTTTATCTTTAGCAGTTGTGTGAAGTAGGTAGGATCATTTGTGTTCTCCCATTTTAAAGATGAGTAGGTGAGAAAATGAAGGAATGCAGGCATTAATTTGTCTGAAAACATGATCCTGAAGAAAAGGCTAAAGTTGGAAAACAGGTGTCTTGACTGTTCTCTGTTATTTTGCTGTTACTTTGTGCTACACGTTGTATCAAAGTACAACACTGGAAAAAAAAAAAAAAAAAAAAAGTACAACACTGAAGTTTAAACCCCCCCCCCCCCCCCTCCGCAAAAAAAAAAAACTAGAGTAGAACCAAAGAGGGCTTCATGAAGGAGAGTGGTGAGTACTTAGGTGATGTAAGGGAGAGGGAAACACAGTGTAGGAAGACTTACAGATTGTCTTTGAAATGGAATAGGATCATTTTGTGGCCTGAACTCATCCTTTCATTTTACAAAAGAGGGCATTTTGTGAGTCATATATGCAAATGTGTCTGTCATGGTCTTAAGGAGTTAAGAATTGAAGGTGAGCCCCAACCACAGCAGAGACTCGAGCTGCAAAACAAGCTTTATCTGTCTGTCCTTTTTTCAGTCTTTCACCATTAGTAAGTACAGAGGTTCAGGTGCATGAGAAAATAAATTGTGTACCTGGATCAAGGTTGTCTGATCTTAAATAAAGCTCAGGAGCCTTTTGCAAGTCTCCCTGAAGGCAAGCTGCAATGTCATTACCCTTTTGTTGGCCACGTTGCACAGCACGCAGGATCTTAGTTCCCTGACCAAGGTTTGAACCTGTGCCCCCTGCATTGGAAGCACAGAGTCTTAACCACTGGGTCAGCAGGGAGGTCCTAGCAATATAGTTAGCTAACTAAAGGACTTTTATTTCATTTTGCAGAAACAAACCAGAAGCTGTAGAAGTAACATTTGCAGGTAAGTATCCTTTATCTC